AGAGTGACGGGATGTCATCAGAGATGGTATTATAGATGCCATCCAGAGTAATTGTTGATAAGAATATCCTAATAAGTTTACGCCTGAATTTGTCTTAGAAGATGTATTTGGAATGAGTCTACGTCCGACTCTGTCCAAAAGAGTATCAGAGTGAATCTACGCTTGATTTAATTTGAATGATATACTAGAATGAGTGTACACTTGACTTTTTCTAGAAGACACGTTTGGAATGAGTCTACGCCCAAATTTGTCCAAAAAGAATACCAGAATAAATCTACGCTTAATTTTATCTGAACTAGAAGATGTCTACGCCTGACTTCAACTAGAAGAGGTATTGGAAGGAGTCTACGCTTGACTTTTTTCCAAAAAGTATATCAGAAGGAAATTTTTGCCTGACTTCATCTGAATGATATACTAGAATGAATCTACGCTCGACTTTGTCTAGAAGATACGTTTGGAATAAGTCTACGCCCAACTTTGTCCAAAAAGAATATCAGAAGGAATCTAAGCTTGATTTCATCTGAACTAGAAGATGTCTATGCCCAACTTCATCTATAAGAGGTATTAGAAAGAGTTTATGCCTGACTTTTTCCAACAGAGTATCAGAAGGAAATCTACGCCTGACTTCGTCTGAATGATATACTAGAAGATGTCTACGCCTGAATTCATCTAGAAGAGATATTTTTTCCATAATGATTCTCTGGGGGAAGTGCTTAAGTAACTACTTATCCGTTTTAGTCTCTGAGGGGAATTGTATGACCATTTAGATAGTCGCATTGTCCTTTTTCAAGAATTACTCTGTGACTTGTTAGAAAATTATTGGTGATGTTCGTCTATTTGTGAACTTTACCTAAAAAGATAGAGTTATTATTTATGCAATGTCATGATATATGTAGTGCATTGCATAATGATGTTCTCAAAGTAAATGAGAAGGTGTTGTACGTGTTTCGTATGTATATGTTATGATAAATGATGTACGAATGTGAGATGTTGTTGTAGTGTATCAGTAGCTCTGTATAACATTTTTTATCAGGAAAATAAATCCCTGATTGTTGCTAGGGATGACAAATATGAATCTTCAATCTGCTGGGGATTTTTGCTTGATGTTTGAGGAAACTCCGTTGGGGATGTTGATTTCTACTTGGGGAGAAGAGTTTAGGAACCTTGGTCGTTCTTCGCTCTACTGGGGAATTTAATTCTTATATACCCTGACTGGGGATAAAAGAGATGGATAACCTTTCGAGGTGCTGCCTAACCGAGTTTTTAATATGGATACCGACTCGCCTGGGGAGGATAGGATTAACTGATATCTGGTCTGATTTCAGATTTCGTAGCAACTCCTTGGGGATAGTGGTCTGGACTACCCTTTACTGGAGAGAGAAGTTTTACCGTTAATTTGTAGTAGTCAGAGGGATAAACTCAAGTTGGGAAGACTGAATTCCGCTGGGGAAATAAACCCTGTTGGGAAAATAAACCCTGTCGGAGAAACACTCTGCTGAGGAAATAAACCCGCTGGAGGAATATATTTTGCTGGGGACATGAGCCCTGGTGGAGAAGAAAAATTTGCAGGGGATTTTACAGTATTGGAGAAATAAACTCACCTGGGGAAGAGAATTCCTGTGAACTGTGTTGTTATCATAATCTACTAAAGATTGGAATCTCGTAGGTTGGCGTCATTGTCGGGGAAAAGGTTATACTCCTTTGTCCGCTAGGGGGATCTGTTGGTGAGTACGACTAGAGTTTTTAAGGCTTGCGGGGAATGTGTCGAGTTCGTGAAGATGACTCCGCGAGGGATAATCTTATGGGAACTACTCTGTGGGGAAACCTTACTGGGGATTACTCTCTGGGGATTTATGGACGACTTGAACGTTATCCCAACTCCTAGAATCTTGAGCAAATGCTTATTCCTATTTTTTTATGCATATTTTGTTAATAATAATCGTATTCATATGAATATGTTCATTTAATTTAATCATTGGACATTTTTTGTAAACAAAACAGAAAAAGTAAAATAAAATTTAGATTTGAAATTGTATTTGTGTTAATAGTATGGCTATAAACAGACGATTTTTGTACAAGGAGACGAAAATCCTAGTAAGAGGACATCGTCATGAAGTGAATACAAAATATATAGCTATGTGCAAATGATCTCGTCAGGTTTCAACTCTACTGTTACCCTTATGTCTTCGAGCATCTCACCCCTTGCTGTCATAAGAAGTTGACTAAATCGATCGGTACCATTCGAACTTGACATTGGTAATAAAGCTGGTTGTGAGTGATCTAACGGGACATAGTTGTACGCTTTAATCCCTAACTTTTTCCTAGACCGCCATTTCGGGTTTTCAGTCCACCGGGATACCCTATTTTGCCCAAGCCGCCTTTTTAGGTTTTTGACTTTCTGGGTGTACAGTCTTTTATATATATCCCTGATTTTTTCCCGAACCCTTTTGGTTCGCCGGGATGCCCTTATTTTTGCCGTCAACCTAGCGGGCCATTTCTTATGTGTAGTATCTTTTAACTATGTCCGCGTTCACAGGGTGTGGAAGATCTTCACTGTCCATGGTGGTAAGTATCATGGCACCACCCAAAAATATCTTTTTTATCACAAATGGCCCTTTGTAGGTAGGAGTCCATTTGCCCATGGGATCACCTGGCGGTATGATGATGCGCTTTATTACCAGGTCACCATCTTGATATGCTCGATGATTGGTTTTCTTATTGAAGGCTTTAATCATACACTTTTGATACATCTGACCGTGACAAACAGCCGCAAGCCTCTTCTCATCAATCAAATTCAACTGGTCCCACCTAGTCTGAATCCATTCATCTTCGTCCAAGTCTGCATCTTTCATAATTCTTAAGGAAGGAATATGGACTTCGACGGGTAAGACAACCTTCATTCCATATACCAGAGAGAATGGGGTTGCCCCAGTTGATGTCTGAGCTGAAGTGCGATAGCCATGGAGAGTAAATAGTAACATCTCATGCCAACCTTTATACGTCACTGTCATTTTCTGTATAATCTTCTTAATATTCTTATTGGCGGCCTCCACGCGCTCGTAGTATTCTATGGTGTCCACTCTTGTTGTTATAATAAAAGGATGTGTTTAAATCTAAACTTACGAGCTAAAAGAAAAATGCAAATAGGAAATGCATGCAAAAGAAAACACGTGGAAAAGAAGAAAATATTTACAAAGTTTCGCTCGGATGAGCCCCGCGACCAAATGCCTATGTATCCCTTTTAAGGAATCAGAGCGTCGTAGTTTAACTCACATGTTTTGATTTGTTTTGTATTTTTTAATAAACAAAATTAATTTCACCTTCTGCGGCAGCTCGACCTTTGGAGACTTATGTGTCAGCACATAAGTGAATTAACATGTTCTTTTGAAAGTTTGAAAGAAAAGTCTGAAGGAGAAAAAGAGTTTGCATTGGTTGATGCTTTTTACCTTAAAGGAGTTGAAAATTGTTAGATGTTTTATGATTTTCCAAGAAAAAGGTTTTAGTTTTAAGGATGCAAAAAGAAATAAAATCATCTAAGGGAGACTATCTAGTTTTATCCCTAATGTTATCATACAATGATTAATCCTAAGGTTGAGGATAAAAGGGAAGTCCTAACTAAGCTAGCATGCATGGATTACAATTCTAATGTCTATCTCGAATCACCACCAAAGGATGAATCAAGAACTTCTAAGGGAACATAACAAAGGTTCACAACCTAAACCTACGTCTATCCCGAATCACCACCAAAGGGTGAATCAAGAGCTCCTAAGGGAACATGCCAAAGGTTCACAACCTAAGAAAACATGTACACAAGGATGGAAAGCAAGTAATCGACAAGCTCAAGAGAGCACACACAAGGAAAATCCCTACCTAAGTTAGCATACCTAAAACCTAAGGGAAAATATAACCATCATATAGGGAACATGCAAAGATCAAAGTCGTTATCTCAATTCTAATTGAGTGACATCATCAACTATTAACAAAGGAAAACGATAAAATCCTAAGGGGAGCATGCAAAGATCGAAGTCGTTATCTCAATTCTAATTGAGTGACATCATCGATCGTCAAAAGAAACAAGTCATGAAATTCTATGGGGAGCATGCAAAGATCGAAGTCGTTATCTCAATTCTAATTGTGTGACATCATCGATCGTCAACAAATGAGGCAAACACAAACATAAACACAAGTAGCAAATAAGTGCAGAATGCCTGCTATAGGTCTTTAAACGGCACTTCGAGCGCACACTCTTTATTTCCTACTTCCCATGATATCTAGAAAGTTGTAAAGGGCGGAAAAGATAAACCATGATCAGAATGATACCAAATGAACAATAGTTCATAGCACGGCAAGCAAAACAGAGAAACCCAGAAAACTTCGAGCAAGCTTCACCAAGCACCAGAGAAGAGTCAAGAATCAAATGCTCAGAATAAGTGTCAAAGCATCATCGATGTGAAAATAAATCACAATCAAAATCTTAAGCATATCCGCATATTGCTCAATAAACATGCATAAGACTCATATATCCACAAGCAAAGGTGAATCACAAGTCTCGAGTAATCAGATAACCATGATTTAATTCCTAAAATCAAATAATGATAAAACATTTAACAATTTTTTTATTGATTTTATAATTTTTCACCATGTGGAGAACATTCAAACAAATGTAAAGAATTAACAAAATTATCCAAACGAAAATGTTAATAAAAAAACCCAGGGGGTACAATCTATACACAATACTGCTGCATAGCAATCCAAATTCTGGTTCTAAATCCGGTCCATGGAGCATTTATTTGTTTGTAGCACTACCTTCCAAAGAAAAAAAAAAACTCAACAGGCCCAAGAAGTGGTGTATACGCGCAGAAGCCCAAACACATCAGCTAAGCCCAGATCCTAAGTCCAATTTCTGATTATTCTGTTATTATTTTGTGATTATATTGAATTAACGAAAAACAATAATGAAAAGAAGATATAGATGAACATAGAATGTTGCGTTTTGATACATGGAAGCTAGGGCTCCATTGGGGGTGTCGCTTCAAATTCAGCGAACAGTCTTTCCTCCTCTTCAAACAGACGGCGCCGAATTCGATCTCCCTGGCGATTCACCCTCCTATCCGCCACCGTGGTTAAGATCATCACTACCTTGTGTCACTGTGAAACACCTCGTCCTAACCCCATCTCTTTCATCTTCACATCGAATCGCCATGGGACCAACTCAGTGGCCTCAATTAAGATCTGACTCAGGAAACGACGGTATCACGAGGAAGAAGCGAATGCGAGGCAAGCAATAAGCAGTAGAAGAGAGCATTGATCAAGTGGTTTTGACATCTTACCGATTGGAGTCCGTCCGACGCGTCTTTGATGGTGATGATGATGAGGGAAAATCATAGAATAACTCCTGACCGTTCAGGTATGATTTCTCTCGGATTCTTGATATCTTTTTTGCTTCTCGTTCGTTCTTATTCTTCTTTCGCGATTTCTACGAATCAGTGTGTTTGAATCGTGATGTGATTTTGATTTCATGCTCTGCTTGTAGGTGTTGCGTGCTTTTCGTGAATACTATGCGATGCCGATTTGTTGCAGACACAAGATTGATGCGGTGTTGATTGATGAATTTTCAGGTTGAAGAACCATTGATGATGAAATGATAACACGCGAATTAATAGAGAAATTGTGATAGTTTGTTAGGATTAGAGTCAATTTGAGCTCTTGGATTAAGAGAGTTAGTTCGATATGTGGACAGGTTCGAGCGGACGACAAAGGGCTTGAAGCAAGTTTGCGGCTGGTTGGTGTTTGATTTTATACTTTCTGAATATGTTTCTAAACTGGATAATGGATGTAGGGCTAAAACAATTAAGTTTTGCTAAGTCTAAAAAGGATTGTGATTAGTGAATCAACCATTAGTTAGGTCGATAAAAAAAGTTTAATGTCAGGATTTGCTAGAGCAAAGTGGTTTGGAGGTGAGTTAATAATTAGAGTTTAAAAACTTGGTTAAGAAACAGTTAAGGAATTAACTGTAAAAAAAGTTTAAAGGTTTAGAGTTTCGAAAACTAATTGTGGTTGACTGTAAAAAATGACATGAAAAAATAATTTCGAACGGGTTAAGGGTTATTTGTTAAAACTGCAGGTCTGCTATGTGGTGCAAACTGGTTTACTATTAACATTGATCTGGTTTAGTGAGTGCAGGTGGATAGTTTTTTTTTTTAATTTTGGAGGAATTGGCTATTGTTTAGTGAACTGAATTGGAGCAACAGCAAGGCCATAGTTCTCTTTCATTCTCTGCTTCTGTATGGATTTTCTTTATCATGAACAAGGCATTTGGATTTGAACAGAATTTAGCAAAAGCATATCGCTGACAAGATGATCATGAAGGCAAGATGATGAAGATGGGATTCAGATTATGTAATTTGTATTTTGTAACTTTGAAAATGTAATGAAAGGCTTTTCATTTGGTTGACTTGTAACAGATTAGTTTGGATGAATATTGAATGTAGTTTTGAAATGTTTGAATAACATTTGTTCTCTGAAATGGTATTTGGATGAACCATGAACTTGGATTTGTATTGAATAACGAATATGTGGTTTGGAAATGGTAATGATGAATGGAAACTTGAATGAATTGATTTGGTTATTTTAATTATGTTGAACGCTTTAATCTTGCACTCTTGGATTAGTTATTGACAAATCAGTATTGGTGGGATAGAGAATCCATAAACTAAAACCTTTAATCATGCTAATTGATCACTTATCAAAATTGAATTCATAGCCCACTTAAATGAACATATTACCACAACAACTTCAGTTTTTAATGAGAAAAAACCAAATCACTTCTCCTTGCTAAAACCCCTAGCTTCCATCCTGATTCCTTATGAATTTGCCCTACAAGCAATAAGAAATAAGAAATTGTGAGGACAACACTGCTTTGATCATAACTAATCCTCAACTTCCACTTTATGACTCTTCACTTGCATCTCAATCCTCAAAGATGTCTTGATTTGGTGAGCAACATAATATGAATGCCTTGAAGAATCCTTTGTTGAAGAAAGATTCGAAGCAAAAAATGAAGCATGTTCATGATATGAAAAATTCAATGAACCTTAGTTAATGATAAGAAACCCTAATCCCTGACCTCGGGTAAGGAAATAAACCTTAATTCTTGGCCTTGAATATGTCTTGCTACTTGTTTCAAGTGAACAAATCTTCCATCTTTAACAATGTGAATCCACATGATAAATTGAGTCAAAATGATCACTTGGACGAATTTTGAACGGAGCTTGGATTGAATTGAAAATATCAATGACAAATCCAAATCACCTTGCCTCTAATTTCAATTTCTCAACGTCAAGGTTATCTTGCAATTGGAGTAACAAGTATTTGATGAGAACTAAAAATTGTATCGTTCAAAACAGGTCCACAATGTTGAAGGCGAGAAACTTGAGACGACCATAAGATCGAACCCTAACCCGATGATCCTCGGTTGAAGCATAATAGATGAAAAATCTCGATCTTATGAAAAGTACACTGAATTAAGAAGCAGCTTAACATCAAAGCCATAGTTCATAGTCTTCTCAGTTAGAATAATTGATGAAGGAATACATTGAACACCCTTGAATGGGAGGTATATCCTTGAAGCCACAAAAACCCTAATTCCACACACTCACTTATAGAAGTAGAATCAAGAACCTCAAGATTTATTTGATATCCACACCTCAAAGAATGTGAAAACCCTAGCATCGCACGCCCACTGGATTTTTGAACCTGTTGTACCCCAAAATTTTCCCTCCCATTTTTCTTCAAGGCATTCTTTCAAAGGTCTCAATTACTCAAGCTACTCAAGGGTTGACCAATCAAAATGCTCCTTCTAAGCCAAAGGTCTACAATTAGGGTTTTGAGTTTCTCAAGGAAATTTGGTTTGTAAAGGTCTCAAATGGTTTTCATGGTTCATCATAGGTCTTCAGCAATGCTTATATCAAGTTTCAAGTCTTGCATCACAAGTTTGCTCAGTCAATGGCTCAGATGATTGAAAATCAACTATATTGTGTAAAAAGTCAACTATGGTCAACATACAGTCAAACTTCAAGATTTTTGGTCAACATAAATATTTTTAAGTGATATTCATCATTTGATCAAGGGTTGATCATGATTCTCTAAGGAAAGCCCTCAAATCATCAAAAGTCAAAAGTTTCCAAATTAGGGTTTCCTTAGGAGAAGTCAATTGAACTTTGACCAAGCATAACTTTCACATGCTTCATCAACCTTTCCACAACCAAAGACCATTTTGAAGGAAATTAAATTCTCTACATATTTGTTTTTGTGCTCAAGTCCAAAAAATGCTTCATTTGAAAGATATGAGTCCATACATTATAGGTCATTTCAAAAGTCAATAAAAAGACGCTCTTTGTCAAGGCAACTTACATCAAGATAATGTCTCCAAATGAAAAAATGATAAAAATAAAAAGTATAGATGACATTTTGATCTTTCCAAAAAGCCCAAGATCAACTTCAAAATATGAAAATTGAAAGAGTTATGACCATTGCAAGTTGGGAAATTTTGGGAAAATGCATGAAATGCAAAAAGAGCAAACTTAAAATTTTGAACTAGTGGGCCTAATTTTTTATGTTAAAACATGTTCATAAGGTGTTAAAGGACCTCTAAATTTATTCCTTATGATTTTTATTTCTTTTATTTGAATTTTTATTCATTTAAATACAAATAAAATCAAATAAATATGAAACCATGGTATAAGGGCTTGAGCCTTTTGATTTTAATCACTTACAGACCCGTTACAACTTGTGACAACCTGTAAAATTCGTTCAAGGCTCAATAAGGTAAGAATCTCTTAAAGATGGAAAGCTTTCAAAGTGTTTGATTTTGGTTTTGATCATGGCTTGATGGCTTGATCTCATGCCATATTTGTTGAGACAATTCATCCCACTATATAAAGGAAAGCATAACAAATCCAAAGACACGAAAATTACTGCCTAAGAGAGAGATCGAAAATTCAAAAAATCCAAAAGTGTTGTAAAATCTATAACCTAAGTTCCAGCCTCTCTCACTTGAAACTAAAGCCAGCAATCCATTCCTGAAGTCCCCGGGAGTTCTCCAGACTCCAAGATCAGTCTAAATCACAACCAAAACGAGCCACTCGATCACACCGGTTAGGTAAAATACCCGCATTTGAATCTTTCAATTTACGCCTTATTAACTAATTCCATGTGTTCATATGTGTTTGTATGCATCATTAGAAAATATCTAACGCATAACATGTGAGCTGTAACGCAGGGACTGAGTTTTGCCATTTTTAGGGCACGAAGCTCTCAAAGCTTCAAAGCCCTAGCTACCGATGTTTTTAGGCTAAGCAGACCACACCATTGAACTCGCAGCGTGCCGTTTTGTCAATTTGGTTTGTTTGTTTTTGTTTTTTGACCGATTCATGCAGGTTTCCAAATTGAAGCAATCGGAGAAGACGACCAGAGGTTGACTCCGACGTCCCTGAATTTTGTTGACTCTGGCAGGGCTAGCGTGGCCTAATGGAACCTTCTTAATGGTTGATTCAAATAACATGAGCCCACATGTTTTGCTTGCGTGTTTAAAATAAAAAAATTTAATTTGTTTTATTATATAATTAATTGTGTGAGCCTGTATTATCGGATGTGCAGGCCACCCGAGTGGCAGCGTGTGTGATCTTAAGGCTTACCTATGCTTGGTCCTGGGTTCGATCCAGGCGTGGGACACTTTTTATTTTTCCACATTTTCTTTGCAGATCCGGTTCAAACAACCCTAGCGCGCACATCATGGGCCTCGTACCATCACTATTAGATCTTATCAAGCCAGATCTGAATGCCTCAAATGTGCGTTCGCACCATGAACCATCAAAGACCCCCTGCATGGGATCTAGGGCAGCAACCTAGGCTCTCTGATTTGGGCCTAAAGATTTCTGTTTCTTTCTCACCCCCATTTTAGTTGTTTGTAGGCGCATTTTAATTTTCTTTATTTTTTGTTTTAATTAACATTTTCTTTTTTTAATCAGTTTTATTTAATCAACAAAAATCATAAAATCATAAAAAAAATTAGATTTAGGTTTTTTAATTAATTGATTTAATTTTCATAAATAGAAATTAATTTAATTTAATCACTTTGATTTTATTTTGTTAATTAACTAATAAATTAATTATAATTAGGGTTTATTTTTATATTTTAATTATTTTTTTATAACAAAAACAACAAAAATATTTAAATGCTTAGAAATTTTGTAGGGTTTCTATATCTTCTCCTACTCACCATCTCTAC